GGAAGGAGGCAAGGTTGATGGCAGGGGATGTTTTGCGGTTTAGGGACAGATGAGAAATGGGGGTGATCTGGATGGGACCTTTGCTTGGCTCAGCTAGAAGTTCTGCAGAGAGCCTCGGATGCTCCGCTCTTTAAAAATCTATAAGGTAAGGTTGGACTTAAAGCAGATGCTGCAAATCAATCAGATGTGATAGGTCCAACATGGGAATTTCTGGCCTGTGTCGTACACAATTTAGACTAGATGACTAGACTCCTCTGACTTCAGCAATAATTCCTAAACGTGATGTGTTTCTCATCATTTGAGGCTTCTGAAGATTTGCTTTGTTGATTTATGTGGTCTTTCCATTTATCAGCTAAAACACCGAGCAAAAAGATACTGGTTCTTTCAGAGGTCATCAGGGCAAGTGGAGGAAACCTTTTTATCCCAGTTGAACTTGGATCCATTTCTTTTAGCACCAGTGGGGGATCTCTGATGTCTTTGCAAACTGTATTTCTGTTTTCTGCTATGACTGATGAGTTACGTTTTGCAAGAGAGCTCTGCTCCTTCCCTTCTTGTGCTACACGTGCCTGTGTACCTGCTTGGTGGAAAGATCAGCAGTAACTCAGTGCAAGCAGCAGCCTTGCAACACCATAGATGTGATCCTTGTGCACGACAATAGAGGACAGTTTGATGTGGTCTGGGCAAGTAATAGGCAGAGTTTCTTTTTCACACCTCGTAGGCGGAGGAGAGACCACTGAAGCCAGGCTGGGAATGAATGGTGATCTAACCTCAGAGAGCTTCTGGCAGCAGCCAGTGATGGAAGTACTGTTATTAACATAGGTGTTACAAAAGTTGGTTTAAAAGGATTTACAGTGCTGTTTAAATATTAAGCGCATGGCATGGGCGCTTTGTTTGTCTAGTTGGTAACACTGGTCTGAAGATGGGGTGATGCAATGCACAATGATCTGCTGATGTCAATAGATTTGTTATATTGCAAGTCAAAAACCTGTATGACTTGAACGCCAGACGTAGGACAAACAGGGATTAGGAAACAAACCTGGCCCCCTGGCCCATTTCTAGTCTCTGTCTTTCCATGCCTCTGTGCTGGATCTTTGTCCTTGCTATTTTCCGCTTCATTTTCAAAACGGTCTGTAATCGCAGCCCTGCCTATAGCCTAGGCCTCCTCTCCCCACAGGTCTCACTCTCGGTGGATTCCCGCTTCCTCTTCTCCTTTGCTTCGTGCCTGCCTCAGTTCGGTTTAGTTCGCAAGACTTGTCCACGCGGAGGAGCCTGTTCGTTAACATCCCTCTTCCTCTCCCCCTGAAACTGTATGAAACCTTTACCTATTTGCAGCAGATATTCTTTGTGCGGCGCTGAGTGTTAAGCTGATGTTAGGCTTGATATTCCATATCTATACGTCTTCACGAAGGGAGTGATTTTTTGGTATAAATACACCCGCATCTTCTGCTAAATTTAAGGTGCCCACCTCTGGCAACGCTCATACCAGGCTGTGACCATGGCAAGGAAAAGGATGCAGCTTTTATGGCAGGACAGCACATCAGCGAGCAAGATTGAGACAAATGTTACACTAAGGGATTTTTTTAGGCTATTTAAACCACCTAGTTTTGCATTCGCATCAATTTAAATTCTTTAACTACTCAATACCGTGGGTAAAAGACAACTGTTAAAGATGCCAAATTCATCTTTTAAATGAGTTACTTGAAATTACAATATACTTCAGCTCCTTCAGCAGACTCTAGACAGGCTAAGCTTTGTAACTCCTGGAATATTTAAGGGAGCTGCAAAGAGTCAAAAATAAACGTAGCCCAGTACTTATCCTCTCCCCTTGCTTTCCGAATGAAAGTGTCTCAGGCCTTTTTCACCTGCCACAACAAACAAAACCACTTTGTACTTAAAGGTGGGTAGCGTATGAATATTGTGTTTTGAAAGTGCTTGAGCAACACATGGGAAATATTTATTACATTTCATCACCGGTTCATGATAGAAAGTAGCCTTTTAGAGGAACTGGTTGTAACTAAGCTTTTCAGGAACGCTGGCTCTCTCTATACCGCCTTGACACACTTGTACGGATGAGTAATTTGCCTTGTGTGACTAGATTAACCTGTGCAGGTAAGACCAAAGCTTTTAACTATATATCCTTACTGCTGTTTTTCAGGGTGTTAGGACCTGGTGAATCTTCTTTCCCACACCTTTGTGGCCAGCTCCCTGACTCTAGCACTGGCAGTCCTCTTCTGCGGAGACATAACGACTGTTCATGTTCGCTTTATTAAGCTTCTCAGTGGTGTTGCAACTGGCACTAATTGGCATTTTTTTGCTGACAGCCTTCGCCAAGAGCTGGAGAACTGAACGGGCTGTGGAGCCTGCACTCCACTGTGCTCCAAAGGTGGCAGAGGACAGAGACATGCTGGCAAGTCGGTCTGAGGAAAGCTGATGTCACTCTTGCTTGGTCTATAAACAAAGGACTTCTGTTTCCAAAGCTGAGAAGCCCCAGACTTTTTCCAAGCTGCGGCTCTGTTTGAAAAACAAGCCTGGACCCGGTTGGGTGAGTGATCTGTGTAGTCACCGCTGTGACACAGTGCCTCTCAGCCTCTCCAGCTTAAGCATCCCAGACACATCAGTGAGCCACACGTAGCGAGGTCTGTCGGTGACCTTCAGCAGAGCGATCCCGGCATGGGCTCGGCAATAGCCTTGACTTCTGGCCTAGAATAACAGGAGGGGCGCAGCAGTTAGCTGACTTTGGACCCGTCACAACGTATTGAGGGGACCCTTTCTGTTTGTCAAAGTGGATTACCCGAGAGCTGGTGGGAGGGCTGGAGGGAATTGCAGGGGCAGCTTTGGCCTTGAATTCTTGTTTTGTTAATGGGCTCATTTTAAGGTGTAGGATGTCCTGCCTGGCCTGTCATGCTGTTCCAATGTGTAATTACCCTCACAGCTTGGGAGCTGGAGCGTCTTCCAGCGCTCAGTTCAACTGACCAACTCCCCGCTGCTGAATCTCATTACGTCTTTGTCAGCAAGGCTGGTAAACCTTTCCTCCCACCCCCAGCTCCGTCTCTTCCCCCACCTCAAGACACTTTTCCATGTGCAAGTTAGACCTGACTGCTTTACCTCTCATCTGTTTTGGAAGATGCTTCCACACCGTTGTTACAGAAGCAATGGGGAACATGTACTCAAATAAAGAACTTAGCAACATAGATTTTTTTATTTCTGTTGGGTTTTTTTTGTGGTGGTGGTTTTGTTTTTGTTTTTTAGTTAAGCAGCTAAGCAAGGGATTAGTTCTTTGGATTTCTGTATTTTTATTATCAACAAGGTAGCTGAAGAGAACAGTTAGAGTTACTCTATGCTTTCTAGCAAGGGACCTGAATTTCCCATGGTAATTAGCTTGAGCACGTATCAGCTTGGTTTCTTGGGAAAAAGGAACATTTGCTCTTCCAGGAAACATTTTCAGTGCCATCAGTCTAAGAATAGCAATCTTCTTTCTCTTGCATCTCGAATTTCAAAAGTAAGGCTTATCTTTTATTGTGCATGCAGTATGGAGATTACTTTAGATGAAATACCACTCTGTTCTGCTGAAGCATGAACAGCTTACAGTGCCTCATTCTGTATTGGGTTTTTTTTTTCCCTCTAACCAAAATTAATTCATGAACAAAGAAATTCGTGCCTTGAACATGGCCTCTTCTCTCCGAGCACATCGGTTCCTTGATGACCCCAAAGGGAGCAACAGTGCTGAAGTATTTCAAGTGGCAAACAACTCCCTGGCTACGAATTTAAGCGCTGAAATGAAACCCTACAGTTTCGCTGACGACTTCCAGGAACAGAGGCAAAGCTACGGCGCTGTGGCCTGGGAGGTTTCTGTCGTTGCGATACTGGGGGAGCCGGCGCAGGTCGCTCCCTGTGGAACCAGCAGGGGCAGTGCCAGTTTTACAGGGAAGTAAGCAGCGTGACTGCCCAGAATGCTCTACTGCTGTAGAGTAAAGGTTGCAGAGCAAAAAAACTGAAGCTGTACCCTTTGCTCAGGACTTTGATGTGTCTAAACACAAGTGTCGGAAGCAGGACGTTACCTGCAAAGGGCTTTTTGATCTGGAGCAGCTGCAAAGGTGTTTTGTGTACCTTGGAGCATCTCAGAAGGAGTAGCAGGGGGAAGGGTGGATCTCTAAGCTACTCCTCTGGGACCCAGAGAGGACACCAAGGCTGCCACAGCGCTCTCAGCTGAACCTAATTTGTCACATCCTGCTGGGGACTGGCAGTGGAAGGGCCAGAACCCACTGAAAAAATCTACTCTGGGGTCCTGGGCCATTGCCACTCCTGCATAAATCCTACCGGGCACGGCAGAGGGCAGGCACAAGGAGGGTGACGCTCCTGCTCCATACTACCTTCCTCACACCTCACCCTGCAGCGATCACACAGGGGCGCTGCAGAGTCCATTCCTGCCTCCTGCCGGGGCAGGAACATTTTTGGCCAGAGCAACGTGCATATTCCTGCTCTCCTCCGCCTTACAACAAGCACCTTCACTCTCCCAGGGGAACAGAGGGAACTTTGCAAGGAAACCAACTGTTCTTTACGCATATTTTAAAATGTATTTTGTTCAGCTGCACATCCCTGCCAGCCTTGTTTAGGGGAGTTTTAACAGTATCTCACTTCTCTTTGGTCTTGTATACAAGATGAGGAAGTTTTCATCTGTGCCTTTAAAAAAAAAAAATCTGCATGCCTGCCAAGATGTATTAGGAGAGCTGTAAAAAAGGAGTCATCCTGTTCCAGGACCGCGAGGCTTATGTAAGAGGGAAGTCCTAACAAGAAGAGACTCCCCCGCCCCGTGCACGCTTTTCCAAGGCACGTGCCACTTCAGGGTTTTCAGTCGCTCGAGTGGTATTTTGATTGCATCTGCCACTGGTTTATTCAGATGTATTTACAAATATTTTGTCCCACATACCCTGATTTGTACATGCCATAGAATGTTTTTTATAAAATGCAGTGCGGACCTCACCTCACCACAAGGATCTTTAAATAAAATATATTGTAAAGTGCCAGATACAATTCTTTTAAAAAATACAGTTCTAATTAAAACAGATACTTGGCTGCTGCATTAGCAGCTTCGTATACTGATAACATTTTTAGCACAACAGTCTATTTCTGTCAGGTGAGCGGGAGGCTCTCGTACCACCCCTCTAGCTCTCCAGTTTCAAGTCCAAAGGCTTTAGAAAGTGAGGCAGAGGCAGATTGTCCAGAGCCTCTGGGAAATGCTCAGGCGCAATGGTCCTGATCAAGACACGCATGGCTCCGACAAACAGCGACGGGGGAGCTAAGCCCACCAGGCACTGGAACCTGTTCTCCCCCAAGAGGTCCTGCCACCGCTGTCGATTGTCCAACAGTTGCTGTTTCATGGTGAACTGGAGGTCCTGAGGCACGAAGAAGAAGAGGCAGTCGAGGCAGAGGAGCTTGGCACGCGTGTTAGTGGCCGGCGTGTGGGAAATCTGCTGCAGCAAGGTGTCGAGGGGGGTGTTCCCGGCGCTATCCTGCAAGCAGGGCGACGCGCCGTGCCCGAGCAGCAGGAGCAGGCACTCGGGTCGCACCAGCTCGCAGGCCACGTGCAAGGCTGTCTTGCCGCCCTCCACCCGGCTGCAGCCCCGGCGGTCCAGGTGGGCGGCTCTGTCGCTGGGCGGGAAGGCTTGGATGGCCTTGAGGATTCGGAAGAGGACGCGGACGCGGTTGTAGCGGACGGCCATGGCCAGGTGTGGGGCTGAGGACTGGCAGCAGCTGAAGCTTTGGCTGGGCACGGCCAGGGCGCTCTGGGGGAACTTAGTCAGGAGGTGCCGGGCGTAGGGCTGGTGGTCGTGCACCAGGGCGTAGAGCAGTGCCTCCGAGGGTGAGTACACGCTCACCTTGCCCCCGTCCTCCCAGTGGAAGACCTCCATCGTCCGCATGTCCTCCAGGAACCAGACGGGCAGCAGGTCCCTCACCGCCTGGTAGAAGGCGAAGGAGGATTTCTTGCACTGCTTCTGCGACTGGGCGCCGCGGCCGCCGACCCACCGGACGCTCCAGGGCATGGCGGGCGGCCGGGCTCCG